AGAGGAGAGTTCAGCAAGCCCTGAGGGGGGCACTGACGTGTGCACAGCACACATGGGAGAGATCTTACCCCTGACCTGAAAAGAGAGAGGCCTGGGAGAAGGCCTGCCCTCAGCCTCTGCTATTTAAGCCCGCCTATCCCAATTCCTTTATTGCGGCAAGGCCGGCTAATTTTGTTTAGCATAGGCATTCTCTGAGGGGACAGCTCCCTTCACCCCTAATCTTCCCACCTGTTTCAATTTGAATAGTTCCTGTTGTCCTATGGTCTAGTTCATTGATCTTGTGCTCTGTCGTTTTCTATCTGCTCATCCAGCAAATTTTAATTTTAAAATAGTATACTTTTTCAATGATAGGAGTTCAATATTTTATTGTTACTTCTTTCATTATGTTAGTATTCCCCTTTAAATGTTTAAACATATTTAGTTTAACTATTAGTGAAAAAAGAAGTATATTATACTGTTTTTTAAAAGCTATGCCAGTGAGATTTTGAAATCCTTACTTTTTGTTTATCCTTGATGAAATTAATTTATCTGATAATATTCATAAATTGGTTTTATTAGATTGAGGAAATTTCCTTCTCATGATATACAAAGGATCATTTACAAATAATGCTGAATTATTATTTAAATTGTTATTGATCTACCAATAGAGATGATTGTGTGGTATTATGATATTTCACAAACTTTGGACATATTATCAGTTTAGGCCAACTCCTGGGAAAGGGCATCATGCCACCTGCTCGAGAGGTGTGGCAATAAGTCAAGGAACCATCCACACAGAAGGGGCTCTGGTGTGTCCCTTCCTCGTAGGCAACGTCTTCCTGTCAACATGGTGGGAATCTTCAGCTCTCTTCATTAGTTCTCTGCTCTCAAGGCTCACAATCCGGGGTTGCTTTCTGTCCATTGCCTCGAAGAAGAACTTAATTTCTATTAATTCTGCTCATTTTACTAGCTCATTATGAGAAACGACTAGTTCATTCCTTCTGGCAAAAACAAAACAACCTCGGGAAATAAGTTAGGGAGACATTAGTATGAAAGCAAAAAGAAGTGAAATTTTGTCCTCGATGTGATGCAATTCGGACTATGAAATCGGTGTGTTTCTTAACACTGTTCAGCGTTTGATCTCACTGTTGCTGCCCCTGCATGAATTTATCTTACCAAGCATCGTCATCATTGTTTTGACCCTCTACTTTATCGAGTATGTTATTTTCATTTAGAGAATGGTTCTTCTTGATAGCATTTTCAAAGTACAGGAGTTCAAACCTCACCATACTCAATTCTAGAAAACATTCTGACTGTACTTCTTTCAAGAAAGACTTGTCATTCTTCTAACTATTGAGAGTATATTCGTTAGCCTTAACACCATAATTAAAATCCATTCTTCTTTGGTCTTTCTTATATATCTCTTCCAAAGTATATAATTTGTTCATTTCTTTTTGTCTAGAAAAAATATGTTTTCTAACAATGTGAAGCCCTAGTAAGACTTTGAATTATATTATAATAATTCAATTTGACATATTTTGAGGCAGTCATATAGCATGCATATACAAATATTCTGATCATCCAAATATGCAGTAATGGAATACTGAGTTACATATGTTTCCCCGTCTTTTTTTCTGAGTTAAGAAACACACTGGCAAAGGAGAGTAACTGCAATAGGTGTATTGTTCTCTGTATTGAATATTTGACAAGATGCTAAGCATTATTAGATTGTCAAAGAAAAACATAAATTTAAAATGAAAGATTTCTGAGGTTAATAACGCATTCATTTGCTTATATCCCTCAGAAACAGTGAAACCTAATACATCATCTCACCTTTCATTGTTTTTTAGTCAATATAGTTCACAATTTTGAAAGCTAATTAAACTGGTATTACTATGATAGGTTAATCAATAAAAGTGTATTAAAATGAACTGTAAAATGCATAACTCAGCAGTAAATGTGTCAGCATGTTGTTATTTCCAAAGTTTACTAATTTGGGGAAAAAACGGCATAAAAGTGCTCTACATATTTGTCCTATGTAAAGTAACATCATTTTGGTTGTAACTAGTTTGAATCTGTATTGGGAACCACTGAAGAGCGTCCCAGAGTGTAGCACATAGAAATGCTACAAATGAGATGGCCAAAATGTTATAGTTTAATCAAGTTGCTACATGGAACATAATTGTAAATTAATTTATTTACTTATTTATTTAATCATTAATTTATATTTAATCCTTTTAAGTATCATGTCTCAATCAGACAATATAATGGAGGATATTCTGGAATCTATATTCTACTTTTCAAAAGATTTGTGCTCTTGGCTCTGTTTGTTAAGGACTCATGGGGGTATTATCCCTTCCACAATTTCAGTACATTTTCTTTGATTAATGAGATCATTTAGTCTGACAAGTAATTTATAATATCAGTTATGCTCAAATGAATAACTTAATAGATTCATGCTCATTTTAAATCTTAATATAATAGTGTGAAAATGGCAGACTTTTCTTCTAAGCTAAAACTTTATTAAAATCATACACAATTTCATTTATTTATTTAAGCAAAGGCAATGGGAACCAAATAGCTACCTTTCTTTTTCATGATGTCAGATTTTTGGAAAAGTCATGCTGCTGAAAAATAATAACAACTAAAAGGATATTATTTATTGGGAAAATTGAAAATCCCTCTTCAGAAATATCAAATGCACATTTCTGACAAACATTAATGGAGCAAAACTTGTGAAGCCAGAAGCCATGTAAGGTGGAAACTAGTCAGAGAAGGAAACTCAAATATTTTCAACTCAAATATGCAGAAATAGAAAAGTGGTGAGTACTTGAGAGACCTGCCTAGTTCTGGCATTCACAGGTATCACTCTATTCATGTAGGAAAGATTATTGTCTTTTGCATATTAACTTAATTGTTTCTGACAATACTGGGGAGATATAAATTAAAGCTCCGCATTTTTCAATATTTATTCGTGGTGGTCGAGGTAGAGCCTACTCATAGCAACTTAAAGTACAGTAGAACTCAACGCTGCCTGTTACTGCATCACCATTGTGATCACAATGATGATGTTTGAGCCATTGTGTGAATCTGCATCATTTAGAGCCTTACTATTGTTGGCTTACTCTCTACTTTTCTGAGTCTGATGTCCTTTCTTCAGGGACTGGCTTCTCCTGAGAACACATCTAAAGTACATGAGACAATACCATGTTCAAAGTAATGAGCTCAAGCCTCAACATCCTTGTTTTTAAGATCAAGTCTCAACATCCTTTTTAAAAGAAAAAGTGTTCCTTTTCTTGCAGTACATGATACTTTCAATATTTTGGCTAATCTGATCATTAAAACATGCCAATTCTTTTC